ATGTAAATACCCCTGTTACATTTCCCTCATGGTCTGAGCGTGTGGCCTCATTCTTTTCTATGTTTGCCCAGACTCAGAGGTCTGCAAAGCACGGCTTTCCCTGTAGAAATGAAGTACAAGTACCTTAAAGGAGAACTATGAGGTGAGTGCTTTTCACTCACCTCATAGTTCTAGCCGACCTGTGACAATGAGACTGTCACAGGTCGGCTCAGTAGATCGGGAGGTGAGCGAACACATACCGGCGTTCGCTCACTTCTCGATCCTGTCACGGCTCTCTGCTGTGACAGGGGGAGGGGCTGGATTCCCCTCTCCCCGCTCCGATCTGCCAGCGCTGACTGGCGGAACGGACGGGGCAGGGGGCGGGTACAGCTGGCTCTGCCCCTAGATAGGCAGAGCCAGCTGTCACTCACGCAGCTGGACGGATCTTGACGTCCATGTCGGGATCCGCTCCGGCGTCTCAGTATACCGCGAGCTGTAGCTCGCGGTATACTGAGCTGAGGGTAACGGGAGGATGCTAGTTTGTGTCCTTCCGTTACCCTAAGGAGAACTATGGGGAAAAACACAGACCCCATAGTTCTCCTTTAACTATCAACAAAAAATTATCTTATTTGTGTATCACTCAGCTGGAGATCCTCACACACATGGACCATGGTGAACAAAAGTAGACCCCCTCCAGAAGGAAGGACAGTGTCAGCATGAATTCAGAGATGATTTGAGGATCTACAGCCGAGTGATACACAAATAAGATACATTTTTGTTCATAGTTAATGTACTTGAATGTATTTATAAGATTTAACTTTGGAGTTTAGTGTCACTTTAAAGTAAACTACACTAAGAGAAAAAGAGAAGCTGCTTACTAACCTCCCTCTGTGGTCAAGAGTGACCTGTTAGTCATGCTGATCTTTTGGCTTTAATCATTTTTAGGTCGCTGATCCAGGAACACTGTCCTTCCTTCTGGAGGGTGACTACTTTTGTTCCCCATGGTCCCTGTGTGCATGTGTGAGGATCTACAGCCGAGTGATACACAAAGAAGATGCATTTCTGTTAATAGTTAGGGTACTTAAATTAATTTTTAAGATTTAATGCCTGAGTTTAGTGTCACTTTAATGTTTCTTTGTATGGGCAAAACACGGGTCCTTTTTTAAAGCCTCCCTGTCACCTACAGGATTTATATCCAGCAAGCATGTACCTGTAAAGAACAGAGTGAATGCTTACCTCTTCCGCTGCTTGAAGTGCACTGGGATACGACACTTCCAGAAATGTCTGCTTCCCAGCACACAATGGAGGAAAATTCCTCACTAATGGCAGTGCCGGGACAAGGACCTCATGCACCCAAGGCAAAATGCTAAAGTACTCGCCCAATGCTGAGATAGGATGGATGGAGCTTGCACATCTGCACCCTGCATTCTCCGTGGTGGTACACAGTACAGAAATGAAAGCCACCACTGGTCCTAGAATGACCATATATTGATCCAATGATAACTGAATGGGATAGGGCAGGAATGCAATGTGGGTAAAACATTGTGATTTAGTTAATATGATAATTGTGATTTAGATAATATGTTACTACCATAGCCAAAATGTGTTCTTCCATCTGAAAACTGAAGTGTATAACTCCTCAATAGTGAAGCTTTATTCTGTGGTTTGTCCATTTTATAAAGGCACTCGAATTATGTTTCTAATATACAGTATAATAATAGAGGGATGAAGCAGTTAAAGTGAATGCAAACCTTATCATTGTTATTCAAGTGACGAGTTTCCTTTTTTAATAAAGAATCTTGTGCAGTTACAGTATTAGCAAATACCTGAGGATCCTTTTAGTTCCCTTCAATTTACTTTCTGTGACAACAGGCCCTTTCTCTATATTGTTGGTGAATCAAAAGGAGATTATCCGTTCTCTGGATTGGTAATGACATGTAGTAGGCAAACTATCCCTACTATGGTGCTAAAAGAGATGTCTCTTGCAGGTGTTCACAGTGGAGGAAATGATGCCTCATGTGCAGCACCTGCAGGGTGCACACAGTAAAAATCTTTTCCTGAAGGACAAGAAGAAGAAAAGTCTCTGGCTGGTGACTGTCCTCCACGATCGGCAAGTCAATCTGAACGATCTGGCAAAGAAGCTGAATGTTGGCAGTGGAAATCTCCGCTTTGCAGATGAAGCTTCCATGATTGAGAAGCTGAAAGTAGGCCAGGGCTGTGCTACCCCACTTTCCCTGTTCTGTGATGTCAAAGGAGACGTCAAGTTTGTCCTGGATTCCAAATTCTTAGAAGGTGGTCATGAGAAAGTTTATTTCCATCCTATGACCAATGCTGCAACCATGGGCATTACTCCGGATGAATTTATGACCTTCTTGAAAAAAACTGGACACGATCCTGTAATCATACAGTTTGAGGACTAGAACGGAAGCACTAATTTATTAGTTATGTTACAGACTACTCTACACCCCCTGAGACCTTTTATTGTACTATGAAACACACATCAGGATTTTTTCATTTCTGTTGCAGCTGTAAATTATCAGATAGTCAAGCCAAACTCCAGGGAAATTTTAAAAACTACCCTTGTAGGGCACCTCCCTCCTCCTGCAAGGGTTGAATGCTTGTTTTTGCCTAGACTACCATTAAAAGCAGTTTTATTTACCTTAACCCCTTGTTCCGTTAGAAGACAGCACTCTCCTCTTCCCTCCAAAACTCTGGATTGAAGGTGGGACCTTGGCATCTTCACTCACAATGCTGGACTGCTGGTCCTGCATTAAACATGTTATAGTGCAGCATTTTGATGGAGAGCAGACGAGAACCAGCTTCGGTGGACCAGTCGCACAGAGAGGAGGAAGCATGCAGGGTTGAGGGTCAGCTATGCCAGGTCTATATTGCTGCTTTGTCCCCATTGGGGACTTTCTGTCTTGGTTAGTTGTGTGTCCCTCTTGGGGAGGTTACCTCAATTACTGTGGTGCCATTGGTCACTAAGACAGGAAGTGAGAGGAAATCCCAGTTGGGACACCAGCAGCTATAAAACCTGGCATTCTGAGTTAGATTCCACTTCAAGGAAATGTACAGTGCATCAGTTGGGGGGAGGGATGACAAAGAAGGGAATAGGAATAATGAATTGGCTAATCAATACTATGTTCCTTTAAGAAACTGGATTATATGGAAAATGATGTGTATAAATAACCCCCAACCCTACTCCAACTCCCCACATCTCTGATTAAGCCCTATTTGGGGTGAAACACATCAGAGGAGGAGGGTCTGGAGGAAGGCATTGTGCCTATGCTTGTTACATCAATGACAGTACAATAAAATGATTTAGCGGAAGTGCGTCTTTTCATATTTGGACTCTGCCTGGTTCTTGTGAACTACATCTAGTTATAGTGTAGACCACAGTCTCAGTATGTTTCTGCTTGCACTGTTTACAAGTCTATTTGTGTCCTCCTGATAACTCAGTGCCCATAAATACTAACTAGATGGTTTTTAAACAACTCTAGGCAGGTATTAAAATTCTTCAGCCTGGAGTCACATGAAGGTGGATCTCATGAATAAAGATGGCCATAGATCTATATGTTTGGCCATAATCACTCTTGTAAAAGCTTCTTTTCTACCAGGATTGGGAACAATACTGGCTACAGGTAAGGGCAGAAGGATTTAGCCCCACTGAAACACCTGTTTAAACCAAAACAATTATGGCTATTATACATGCAACATACGAGTGGGGAAACTCACTATTGATCATTATTAAAACATGGGGCATTAAAATGGATATTGCATGCCGCACTAAAAACTGCATGTGGTCACCCCCACACCTCCTCCGACATTCAAACATGGAAGTTTGACGAATGATAGGTATAGCATCACTTGCCTCATTCATGTGCAGTGGCTTGTTCACTTTTAGTTTCAGCAGGGCCCTGAACCCTCACCCTCTGCCCACCAGAAGTACCATGAGATGTTGTCTCTGTTTTATGACAATTAGAAAGCAACACCTTACAGAGCAAACATCAAAGAGACAGGAAGGACTGTAAGGTGTATATGTATACAAAATTGAATGTTACAATTCACCAAAAATTAACTGCAGATATATTTTCCTGATGTTTGTGCGTTTTAAAAAGCCACAAAAATATTATATATTGCAACTTACCTGTCCTTTTAAGTACATTTCCTGCAATTACCGTAACAACCTGTTGATTATTTCAGAAATTCAGTGTCCTGGTAACTTTTTCTGCACTGAACTGATGGCTCAAACTGTGTTATCTGCTTTACAAGCTATCTCCTGTTAACTACACAACACCTCCACCCCATATAATGGAGAAGAGTAGGTGTTTTAGTCCAAATCAGGAGAGCAGTCTAGGACAGTGGTGGCGAACCTTGGCACTCCAGCTGTGCCAAAACTACAAATCCCAACATGCATCTGCCTCTGAGAGTTATGTCTGTGGCTGTCAGAGCCTTGCAATGCCTCATGGGACTTGTAGTTCCAAAACATCTGGAGTGCCAAGGTTCGCCACCACTGGTCTAGGACGACAATGCTGCTCTTCCATAGATACAGTACAGCCAAGTGAGCATTGTCCCCCCAGGACAGGAATTCTGTTACTGGCTGGATCAGGTGAAGATAAAAAGGAAATAAAATCTAAAATAGAAAAATAATGCAGCTTCCACATTTAAGGGCTAGTAAGTTGCCTCTGGACATTTTAAGGGCAGCATTGGGATCCCCTTTATTTAATGTGGTAATCACCACTAACCCAAGCAGATTTAAAAAATAACTTTACCCTTGGAGGTTGTCCTTTAAGTTAAGATACAGAAGAGGGGAGGAAGGCAACATGGACACAGTGACACAGGGGACAGAGATACAAAAGAGGCAGCAGAAACTCAGGGTAGAGGACAAGGATTCAAAAGACGGAAGAACAGCAAAAGAGACACGAGGGGAAATCAGAAACAGATTCCTAGCCAAATGCAGATCTCATCACATGGTGGTGTGGAAGGCTAGTATTTAATGTTGTAAATAGGTTTCTCTTCTATAGCCAAGAAGGCACTCAGGTCAATGTGTAGTTTTGTTGGGTAGGGGGAAGTGAAATCAGAATATGGATCACTTCCTCCTCAATAAAATAAGACAGGATTGACTAGTCTGCAGTGGCAGATCTCACTGGTGGCATGGATTCTGGGCAATAAGCTGTGTTTATTTAGTTGGGGGATAGATTTCACTGGTCTCTACATCTGCACTTCACTATACAATTTTTCCTACAGTATGAACTCACTGAACTTTAACCCACAATTGCTCCTAATGTACATTCGCAGCATACTTGCTTTGCAATAAACATCAGTAAATGTATCTGATTTAATTTGTCAAATAAGTCTCCAATGTTGTTCTTTACAGTCAGCACATCATATCATTATCCATTTGTACTTCACATTTTGAGTAGGACAAGTAACAGGATGCAGCCAAATAAGGCAAAGTGCAATGTGCAGTACCCCATACCAGCCAATCCGTGATCCGCTTCAATTTTTCAGATAGGCAAGATATAGAAAGCTAGCTACCTAGGTATCAAAAAAGCTTAAAAGATATTTTTTAAGACGGACTAAAGTTGATTCAGCATTGTTAAATGGTTATGCCTCCACCTGTTCCTGCGTGAACAACGGAAGATTATATTTGCAGTTTGAGTTTCTGGCCAGCATTAAAGACAGCTGCAGAATTCCTTGTAACCCGACACAAGACTGGTAAACAGCAGTTAGCGTTAGTGGTGGAGCACTCGATAAACAGTAATTCCAGTGAATGTTTTAGTGACACCACATTATGAGTTTTAATTGTAACAATTCCTAACATCAATTTCTAATGCAACTACCACTTCACATGTTTACTGTTCTGTATTTTCAGAACTGAATTTCATTGAGATTTTATAGTTTTTGTTTTGTAATTTGTGCAACCTATGGCATGCCAACTTATGGTATGTTCCATTTACAGGCACAGAGATCCAGACCCCAAAGTCACAAACTTGTCTTACCTGTAAAATCAATTTCCTACAGTACAACACAGAACACTGGGTTCATTCTTGATCAGATAGGTGCAGCTTCTTTCAGGTGATTGGAAACTGGCAAATCAATAAAATATGTAGGGCAGCCCAGTATAACCACTCCTGCTCTCAGCAGACTTAGTTTCACAAGCAGTACAAGAGTGGATCACAGAAACCCGAGGGGAGGGTCGTGTGTCCTGTCATGTACTCCAAGAAACTGATTTTTACAGGTAAGACAAACATTCTGTGTTCTTGGATCATGCATCATAGGACACAGGGAGTTCATTCTTCAATGGATGAGACATCCAAAAGCAGCTCAAAAGAGGAGCAGGCAACACAGTAAACAGCAGCTAACGGGTTCATTAAAAAAAAAACCTAAACCCAACAAGGAACCCAAAACATAAAGGGACCCACAAATCAGAGAGCCACCTAAAGAACCTTGTGGCCATAGTTAGCATCCACAGAAGCCTGAATGTCCACCTGGTATAACTGCAAAAGTGTGAACAAAAAAAATAGGTGGCAACCTTGAAGATTTGGAAAACCAAAGCCTGATGCTGAATGGTCCAAGAAGTACTAATGCTCCTAGTAGACCCCCAACCAGCAAGGGGGGGGGGGGTTACTTCTCTATTCAACTTATAGGCCTGAGAGATAGTGTCCCCAATGCACCTTGCAATAGAGGCATAGAGAAACTGGCTGACCTCTATGGGGAACCTCTGCAATGATAAAGAAGGAGTCAGACATATGGATTGAAACTGCAGCAGAGAGGTAAACTCGAACAGTGGCGAGAAATTTCTTTGGGATACTTTGGCACAGGACATAGGCATGGTATTACAATGTTCTGTTTAAGGTGGAAGACAGTGACCAACTTAGGAAGAAAGGAGGCCCTAGGCCCCGGCACTACCCTATCCTTATGGATAACCAGAAATGGCCCTTTACAAATCAACTCAGAAACACACCTGGCAGAAGTGACAAAGGAAGATAACCTTGTGAGTGAATAGGGTCAGAGGAAAATCTCAGAGTGCAGCTTCTGCAGCACCAGCTGAACTAACTTGAGATCCCAGAGTCATCAGAGTGCGTACAGGGTAGACATAGTGAGCAGCCCTCTGCACAAAAGCCTTCACTAGAGAGAGAGTGAAGCGGCCTCTGCAGAAGTTTGGCCCTTGATTGTACTCAACACTAAATGCTGGTCTAAGTCAGACTGAAGGAAAGAAGTGATGCGTCCCACAGAGTACTTAATGGGATGAAACTGCCTTACTTTGCACCAAGCGAAATAAGTCTTCCAGGAGAGATGGTAGACCTGGCAAGAGGTCAACTTTCTAGCTTTTAAAAACATAGGGATGACAGATTCCTAGAGGCCTCTTTCTCTCAGGACCTGGACTTCATGAGCCATGCTGTTAAAGCTGTGTACCACATTCTCTTGGACCAGTTGGGAGCAATGAGTATCATTGGAATGTTTTCTGTTCTAGAAGGGAAGGCATAGATCAAGCTGAACTGATTCCACAGAGTTACCAAGGGATCCAGGGCCTGGGATCACTGGCCTTGTCCACAAACCTGTCCATGTATGGGATTCCCCACTAGTGACAAAAGTCCTTAAAACACTTCCAGGTGAAGTGACCATGCTCTGGGATCTGGATGCTGACGTCTTTGGAAGTCTGACTGCCTATTTTCCATGCTTAAGATATGCACAGTGGACAGGGCTCGGATGTGAAGTTCTGCCAAACCCAGGATTAGGTCCACTTACCTTTGAGCTGCGTGACTTCTGGTGCCTCCCTGTTGGTTAATGTAAGCCACACCCATTTCCCAACTGGATGTAACTGTGGAAGGGAGGTCCTGCATTGAAGGGACAATTGAATAGTCTTGAGCTCACAGTAGACGTGAACCAGCACCAGAGGAAAGAATGGAATTTCTGCTTGATATGCATTTTAATGAAGCAAAATGCATGAGTTTTGTTGCATAAAGTGTGAATAGGCTCTAAAAGAATACCTGGTGATCCTGACATGAAGTTCCTTTTTCATACACATCCTGTTATAGAAAAAATAATAAAGTCACCGGCACTTCAAATGATCAAGTCAATAAGTTTATTGACCCAAGTGATAACACCTCCAGCAACGTTTCGGGACCATACGGCCCCTTCCTCATACATACATAACTAACATAGGAAGGGAAGGGGTAACCTGCGTGACCTTGACACCTCTCAGAACACTCTAAATTTACCCGTGTTGTCACTCATAAATGCGTAGCCCCTTGACTATGTAGAACATTTGAGATATTATTGGCCGGCTTTATTATTTTTTTGTACGTTTTGACGGAGGCATCCGTTGTCGCTGCTGCACCTGCCCTGCTGCATTGGGTATTCTCCGGTCAGGAGTGCGATGGGATACATAGACGTTTACATCCTGTTATAGGGTAGCTGTCTTCCAGTGGTGCTTCTGTGTTGTCACCCTGTCACATGAGCTCCCAAACAACTACAAACGCACATTGCGCAGTCATGGTCAACAGGAAGCTGATTTAGAACAATGATGTGCAGGTGACACTGGACTGCAGGTAGACAAGTGACTGAAAAGGCTGGAGGAGATCAGCAGCACTGGAAAAAGTGAACACTATGGAAAAACACATGGCTATAGTTTATGATGGTGTTTTATCAAAGTAAGGGCTCATGTCAACAGGAATTGTTTTCTTGCATTTGAAATGCACATCAAACACAAGTCAGCAAAATACCACTGACTTTAACTGAGCAGTACACGTGGTAGTTCAAAATTGGTGTTTGACCTGCTTTGTTTTGTGTTGTGTTTCTTTGGATACAACATGTCCTATTAAGGTGAAGTGCACTGCAGACAAAGCAGGTCTGCCCATCAACATGAACTCTTCATTTCATCAGTTCAGTTTTAGGTCTACTTTAACCTATATTTGGATTTTGGATAGAGTAGGGAATAGGTCAAATCTGTCAGCTTCTGTCGTCTGTGATTTCCCCTCACTTTATCTTCAGTAGACCCCACAAGAAATACCCTTCTAGACAATTGACACTGATTTTCCCTCAGTTGAGTCTCAGTGACAATGGTTATGAGGACACAGAGAGAGAATCTCCCCAGCTAGGACAACATTACAGACATCCCAACCTGCAATAACACATTTCAGGAAGGTGTCCCTCCCACCTGCGCTAGATAGGGAAAGCTTCCCTGCTATCTGCTGTTTTGTTCGGTATTCTGACAGCTGCTGCCGGCCGCCATCAGAATAAAACAAAACAACAGATAGCAGGGGAATGAATAGCTAAGCTGCTATTGGCCATTTCAAATTGCAATAGCAGGATGGCTATTGTACCCGCCCAGTGCTGCTTCAATCAGCAGGGGAGGACCTGAAGGAGAACTTCAGGTCCACTTCTGAAGAGCAGATAGAGCAGAGTAAACCTTTCAGGATACAAATGTTTCTCTCGCAGGCGTCAGGGAGCCGCTATCCTATAGCAGGAGACTCTCGAATCGTTCTGGAGAGTTGGGATGCCTGACAATAAAAACAGAGGTCCCAACCCTTCCCTGCTCCATCCAAAGTTAAACTAAACCACAGGTGCCCATTCTCTGCAACACCAAAGATAATTAATGCGAAATGAAATGCTGTACAAAAAGTGTATAAGAAAATGTTTTAATAACACAGAACAAGAAAAGTGAAACATCTCATGTGTGTTAAACGTCATTATGAAGCATAAAATCATTCAAACACAAGTGAAAATAATAGTATTAAGACAATTGTTTAAATTAGGATTTAGGGGAAAGAAGTTCATTGTTGTCACGGATACATAATAAAATGTATTGGGAGATTCCACACTCATCTATAATTACAGTCGCGCTTACCTTTAATTCTTCACCACCAATGGGCCCTGTACAGTGTACAGGCACTGGCAGCAAATCAGTCAACCAGATTAAAATGTGGCATTGCCAACATATAATATATATTAAAAAAAAATACAAAAATTGATATCTGCCAAGACATATTGCCATCAGCTGATTATGCAACTGAGAAACGGCAATGCCAGACAAACGTACATTATAATCCTTTTTGATCATCCTCAGTGCATTAACATTGTCCATTGTTCTCTATTTCCAAAAAACTATAAGAATAAAAAAAACCAATCATCTTGCTATGTATGTTTAAAGCGCCTTACAATATTCACGGAGGGCTGTCAAGAGGGGGCAAATTCCCTTAGGGCCCCCTTTCTTTTATAATATGAGAACTGGCACTGAGGGTAACAAAGCCTCCTTTATTGCTGCACACACTGGGCTAGAACAGCGATGCACGGTCACTGTTTTAACAGGCTTGCAGCTTTTGCTGTAGTCACAGCCACAATCATCCCGTATGATGATATATCATTAGGACTAGCTCTGAATTCTTTCCCATAATTCTCTGAATGTAAACATGGGTCTTTTGTCAACTGTCACCCAGTGGCAGCCCTCCACTGAATCCTATTGAGGCAATTTGTGCCATATGAACTATGGCACTCTATGGCTGCCTCCAATCAAGGAGGACAAAACTGAAAACGTTCCACAAATATTATTAGCACGGTACCCAAATATAGTAGGGTACACTAGAGCAAGAGGAAGGTGCTGAGTATATTGAAGCATCTGTGATTTAACACACAACTTGTTTACTGTGCATGATCAGCATGCTATCTGATGCTTGGAAAAGGCATAACCATGCAGTATGTGGGAATCACATGAGGCAGTGACCAAGCCAGGAAGCATGGGCTTTGCTAGAAAAAAAAAAGTGAACTGTCTTCTGTGAGTAATACCGAGGTTGATTCAATGTTTTTAAATGATCAGGATTCTGAAATTGGATTGATACAGTTTGCTTCCACGAGTGCTTGAAGGTCCATCCTGAGAAGGACAATGCGATACAACCACAGTGCAAAGTGCAGAAAGAAAAATCATATTACTCCTGTTGCGTTTGTGGGCTTTTTAAAAATGTACTTATTTTTTTTGCATTTCTTTCCAACTGAACTCCTTGATTCAAGGAAGGAAGGTGTCAATTCATCTCCAGCTCTAGTGCTGAATGCTTGCAACTAAATTCTCTGATAAAGAAATTGGCATGGCGGGAGGTCCTGTGACTTCAGAAATGGAAACTTCGCAATGACAAACTGAAGGACACTTTTCGCTCTGTGTTTAGTAGAAAGAAGAGAGAAGACAGAGAGAACAAATCAGAACGGCTAAGAGTGACACAGTGAAGATTGATGAGGTTAGACAGCGAAGCAGCTATAGCATGCAAAAAGACAGGAAGCACAGAAGACACATTAATTATTCAAGTATGGCCATGTGCACATTTCTTTTCTAATAAAGCATTGCCCTTTATCTGAATACACTGGGATCAAAGAAATCTTTGTTTATACAGAACACCAAATAGGATTCATCAGCATAAAGGAGTAAGAAAATATGTCCTTACAGAAAAACTCCAGTTGTCTTAATTAAATTATAATATAGCCATTTCGCAATTTAATGTTATTAAATACATTCTACTGCAATTTGCATTTGTAGTTTGCAGCCTGCCTGTTGTATCTCTGGCAAGGTGCTTGGGTTAACAGTTGTAAAGTTTTATATCTCTGGTGAGATTTTTCACACAGCGATCCATGACTGTTACAGGACTGGTCATATGATTATAGTAAAGGCAGAGCTTTAGCCTTCTTCAGCAAGTACACTGGAATGGCCTCAGTATCTACTGAATAGAAAAGTTGGTAAAATCTTTGAAAAGTATCTAGGTGGGTGGGTATGGGTCTATGTATGGTATGGGACGGTGGGTATGGGTCTACAAATGTGATTGTGTTC